ATTAGACTTGAGAATTTGACAATGCTTTTTGTTAGATTTCAGTTGATCTTTTATGGCTTATCTTTCTATCTGTAAGGTTAATTAGGATTTAATGTAATTTTGCATTAATCTCCTGGCTGGATTAGTAACATCTTGTACCGATGTATTGGTATTTGGTTGGTATTTCTCAAATTTTGCATTGATTGCTTATTATTAACATTTTATATAAAGAATCGTTAGTTGCATATCAATTTACCAAGTAATTCTATATGTATAAATTATTTACTGGTTTCTTAAAGAAGCTATTTATTTATTAACTATAAAAAAATATGTGGGGAACTCACAAGGAATATAACTTGTTTAACATTTTGTTAAATTACTGCTCCAGTTCATTTTCTTAGGAAATGGCATTGTTTAATGTGTAAAATATGTACCCATTAACATCCGCGTCTGTTTAATGTCTGTTGCTGCTATTAATTGCTAATCTACGAGTCATGGCCCATTTATGAAAAGAAATAATTTCTTAATTTTTGCTTCTTCTTTTAGTTTAAATTTAACGTAGGTCATATTCGATTGGTTGATCCGAGTAAAGCCCACAAAACTTATAAACCCGTTTTATTTCGTAAAAAGAGGTTGCTTTTAAATCTAAATAAATCGTTCACTTACCAGTAATTTACAATCGCCTGAGGAGATGCATTGATACGCATCGAAACACGGCTGCAATTGTGTAGCGATTTTGACATGTTTTCGCTTTAATATTCAATATATATATATATATATATATATATATGCTAGAAAATGAGCATTGGTAGATCAAACCTAGTTGTAGAGCATAGCAGGTGAAGTCAAGTACTTTCCGGAGCGGTATAAGGAACCGGCGATTTTTCCAGCGTCTTTAGTAATGGATAATATATGTGTCCTAGTTGACGCCTGGGCTGACTGAGATAAGTTACACTATTTATATTATTCGACTATTGTCCTCATCTTTTTTGCCATATTTATCACAACGTTTCGGACGTTGTACGACCCGGCCTTCTTCAGGTGGTTGGAATGTCGAACTGAACCCATTATTTCGCTCAATGGGGTAGCCAGTTCTAGTTCCACGTGCCATGTTTAATGGATGTCAGTTATCAGTTATCTCCTGTTAATTCCCCTCTCCAAGTTCTCCACTGCCTTAACCAGGTATTGAACTCACACTTTTTGTGTCCTGTCACTGGATCTAACCAACGCCTTTATCCCCTGTGCAATGTTTCTTTGAGGACACATGGAACTGGTAGTCTACCCCAGAGAACGAAATACAGGGTTCAGTTCAACATTCCAACCACCTGAAGAAGGCCGGAGCGTACAACAGCCAAAACGTTGTAATAAATATGGCAACAAAGATGAAGATGATAGTCCGAATAATGTAAATAATGTACATAATACCTTATCTAAGAAATATAGACAGATACTCAAGAAGATTCTGTTGCGCCAATCTTTCAAGTGGAGACAAATTGCTTTCTTAGGAATCATCTGTCGAAATGTTGTCACCTACTTCAGTTCGAACATCGATCGTTGGTATTGGTTGTTTGGTTGGTTGGTTTGTTTCATGGCATATCAACACCTCGTGGGTCATTTAATACTGAAATTTAATTTTGGGAGGAAATTTTTTTTTTAAATTTACTGTTGGAAAATTTTTTCTATGAAAATCTATTTCTAGTATTTTTATTATAAAAATGTATTTATATACTTTCATAGTGTTTTGATCCAAGTTTGGTGGATTCACTATTTACCCATATAACTGGGACCCTAACCATTGCTACCACCCCGATTCAGGGCGAACCTGGGAACAACAGTAATTAAGAGGTGGTTCCATGCTCCTCAAAACCTCCCTATCAGAGGCCTTGCTGCCGGATTTAGTTTATCGTCATAACCAGAACGTAGTGATGCTGGTAGGAAATATACAACTATTTTAGCCTTGAGGTAAACTCACAATATTTTGGATCTATATACACTTCGGCCGTTCGAGGAAACAACGTGAAATCGGAATAACATCCTACTTATGGATGTTTCTTAAACAGTTCGGTTACAGAACCGATCCGTGTTTATTAAATGGCACACAAGTAGTTAATTGTTTCTACGCACCTCCTTTCTGAATCTTCAGACCTTCTTTGTCTAACTATTGTATCTCTAGACACTCGCCATCAGAAAAATTGGATCTTTGACTAGAAAAATATTCAAAGAAAATTGTCTTGATCGAGGAATGTTTCCAACATCTCAATATTGCTTGCTTGCTACTTCCTAACCCCGTTGCTCAGAGTCGGCATCTCTGGGCAAAATCGCCAATATTTCCTTCCCCTCGCCAGGACTGTGCACTCTGTCATCGTCCCCACTGCCTACCGCGCCTGTCCATTCTCTCAGTCCCGCACTGCCTTGCTTTTTCGCCTCGGTCTCCTGTCATCGATGCGTTGCTCCATGACGTGGGTGCAGATGTTCTGTGACCTGATGAACCGGCCTAACTCTTGCAGTTTTCACTTCATTATCGTCACGTCAACGTGTCTCCCTCTGTTCCCCAGGCAGGACCGACTCGTTTGTTTTGTGGTCTGTTCAGCTGGTGCGCAGTACCCACCCCTTGTATTATGTTGCCTCGAACGCCATAAGGTTCTTAATATGAGAAGCTTTCAGCGTTCAGCTAACACGGCCATAATAGTGTCTTCAGGAGAAGATAGTGTATAATTATAATTCACGTATTTGTTTATATTTTCCCAACCTTCCATTACGCATATATAATTGACAAATACGAAAATTATTTTGTCCTGATGAAGACCTTTCCAAGGACGAAACGCGTTACATAATTTTTCCGCAGTCTATCATTTTTAGATGAGGTATTGTAACTATTTCCACTATTTACATTGTTGAGACTGTTGTCCCCATCTTTACTAAAATATTCACAACGTTTCTGTCGTTCTACGCTCAGGTGATATGCGTTGGAAGTTCGAACCGAACTCTTTATTTTGTGCACCAGGGTAGATTGTTCTAGTTCCACGTGGCATGCCTTTTCTGGATATCTCACTTTCAGTTATTTAGTCGACTGGGGTGGATTGTTCTAATTTCACGTGCCATGACTTGGGATATAAACAACCTGTTCCAGTTGACTAAATAAAATGTTCAGTTCGAAAATCCCACAAATAGCGCAGGAAGAAGGCCGGAGCGTACAACGACCGAAATATCGTGATTATGCGAATAAAGACACAAACGTTCCGAACAATGTAAATAGACAAAATATTTTCAATATATATATATATATATATATATATATATATATATAATATAGATCTGGCTCACTAGGTGTATCTATATATATATATATATATATATATATATATATATATATATATATATATGTGTGTGTGCATATATATATATATATATATATATATATATATATATATATATATATATATATATATATATATATATATATATATATGCAATTTTTATAAATATGCAAATTATATATATATTATTTATATATTATATACACGCGGTACTTATTGAAAGCACCCAATATCAGTGATAAAGCTAACATATTTAGTTGGATTGATGTGAGTTTGTGACCTTGGGTTTTACGCTATTCGCCATCATCAGTTTATATATATATATATATATATATATATATATATATATATATATATATTGAAAATATATATACATAATATATATATATGTTTTTAACGGTACAAAAACGTATTATGGCATTAAAAACTTTTTTTTTTTACTATAGGCCATGATAAATTTTAAGCCAGAATATTTCAGCATGCACATCATATATATATATATATATATATATATATATATATATATATATATATATATATTTCTGAAAATCCTTTCTTTCCCCGGCATTATATATATTTTGATTTATACAATAGGCACATAAAATCCATATGATATATATTAGATATCCTGGAATATTTGAAAAAAATGACGACATATATATATATATATATATATATATATTTATATATATATATATGTGTGTGTGTGTGTGTGTGTGTGTTTGTGTGTGTGTGAGCGAGAGAGAGAGAAAGAAAGAGAGACAGGAGGTACGCCGCATAGAATGTACTTGATGAAGTTCCTGAATGAAAACTTCCTTTGAGAAGTCATTTCGAGAGACATGTTTAATATTCGGCGAGACATGGAAAACTGCTTGTTACTTGATACAGTAACAAACTAATCACTCTGTTCATATTCTCCGAACTTGAGACTTGTATCTATAAAAGGGTGTGATGCGTATGTGTGCGTGCATGTATTTGTATGTGTGTGCGTGTATTTATATTCGTTTTCCCGCGCGCACGACTGTGTTTAAAGCCTTTCCTCATGACCCGAATGTTGGCAATGATATCATCTGTGCAGAAGTGCATGGTAGGGTAGACATTGAAATCCTTGCAAACGAGTGCATCTGTTTTTTTTTTGTTTTGTTTTTTTTTTTCTATTCGAACACTTCTACGTACATGCATGTTTGCATACGTGCATGTGTACGGGCGAGTTTGTGTTCACGTTCTCATCGACTGAAGCTTGGTGACACAGTGCAAACCTAGTGCGCATGTCCGTCGGAAATGTTATCATATAATAAAGATTTAAATTCCTGATTGAATTTATATATGTGCTAAATTTAAATTCTTGATTCAGTATAGCCATCTTCATATATATATATATATATATATATATATATATATATATATGCGAGTGTGTGTGTATCTGTGTGTTTGTGAGTATGTGTGTGTAAATTATTTTAAATAGACTGTGTCTGTAAAGGAACAAAATGAATAAAAACAGATAAGAGGTAAAACTTATCTTAACCGATGCGCTTCGTCCTCTGAGGGATTTTTTTAAATGTTTTATTTGATAAAACAAAGTCCCTCAGAGGACGAAGCGCGTCGGCTAAAAATAATTTTCCTCTTGTCTCTTTATATTCATATGCTTATAAACATGTATATATATATATTATAGATAGATAGATAGATAGATAGATAGAATGATAGATGTGTGTGTGTATACATATATATAGGCTTTATATATAAATAGGCTTATATATATATATATATGAATGTATATATAAATAGTCTTATATATATATATATATATAGGCTTTTATATATATATATATATATATATATATATATATATATATATAGAGAGAGAGAGAGAGAGAGAGAGAAATAAGCAAACAAGACATGTATTTTATGTACCTATTGTATGAATTAATGTGTGTGTGTATGTATACATATATATATATAGGCTTTATATATATAAATTTTTCGTGTGACGTGTTTCGTCTTTTAGGACTTCATCAGACAAAGTTTACATTTAAGTGCTATTATTATAATGTGTGATATTTAATAACAAATGTAATTGAGACATAAACAAAAAGAAAAAAGAATCTAAACAAAATTTCTGTATATAATCTATTATATGCACAAAACACAGTTTTATAGAATTCATTTTAAGTATTAAATTCTCGGCGTCTCTCTTTCGTTCGTGGGCAAGTGTAGTCAACGGTCAACATAAATTTAGTCCAATGAAGTCCTAATATCTGTATGTGTGCGTGCATGCGTGTGTGTTGTTGTTATTCTAAAACCGGACGATTCTACTTGTTTTAATCATTTAAACGAACTCAAAATGTTTAAAGAATGCCTGAGGTGATACTATATCTATTTACAAATGTGAAAACATTTGATGACGCTATGCTTACATTGTCCCTAGGAATGATAGAATCATTTACGTAGTTTTCCATCTGTGCTTGCTGTTAAAAGAGCGATGCACCAAAATGTATCACAAAACATACACACATTATATAAATAAAAGTAGAAGCTGAGGTTAATACTTCATGCTTGGAGGAAAACTTATTGTGTTTAAGTATGAAAAAATGACTGTCACTATTTTGTTAACCTCAGGTTACACTCCTATATTTCCTTACGCTCTATCTCTGATATTTAGCACGTTTAATTGTAAATATAGCATAACTACATTTTTACTTATATATATATATATATATATATAAAAAGCTCTTCAGTGTGGCTAAACGTCCGGTTGCTTCTAGCTAGGATCAAAACCCGACTGTATTGGTGTCCGTCGGAGATCTTACCACTAAGTCGTCGGCGATGAAGACGAATTTTTAGCGTATTTCATTTTAGATAAACACACAGAGTGGCCGACAGTGACTCAATTCGCTTTTGCCGAAGAGTCTCGCTATATCAGCCATAATAGTCAGTGTTTACAAACCGACACCTCTTCCCCAGATTTTTTTTCAGGAACCAATATAAAGTCATCCACAGACAGACTGTTTCGCAGCTCTTCGGTGTGGCTAGACATCCGGTTGCCTCAAGCAAGGATCGAAACCCGACTGAATTGGTGTCAGTCGGAGATTCTACCACTAAGCCGTCGGCAGGGACATGGATAGAAACCTCAACAGGAATAGAGGAAGCACTGGACGGCCGTTTCGTCCTATAATTGGGACTCATCAGCACCACCAAGTATCGAAACAGTTGGGTTGTCAAGCGAACAACATACCAACTGTACCAAATGGACCTCGGTAACGAAGAGATTCCAAATCAGACTCAACTTAGCGACGCTCGCTCACATATTCCGTGGCGGAACTCGACTGAGTTCTCTGTAACCATAGGACTGTGCCGCCGGAAGCCACGACTACTCTCACCAAGCCGCGCCAACTGGAGCATTAGAAGCCTGTTCAAGCGATGATAAACACAGTAATTAATAGGAGGATTTGATAATTATATATATATATATATATATATATATATATATATATATATATATATATATGTGTGTGTGTGTGTGTGTGTACCATCAGGTCACGATTGCGTTTAGCATGAAACAGTCTGCCGCCTCTGAGTGTTGACTTCCATGTTAACTTTTTTATTTACATTCGCTCTATCTCTGATATTGAGCACTTTATCCCATAAATATAGCATAACTTGAAACTATATTTCTTCACACACGCACACACAGACACACAGACACACACACATGGTAAATTTGATTTAAATTCTGAATGTTGTTCGATTAGTGAAAAACATGGCCACTTAATATACTATGATGGAAAGGGAAGTAACAGTTACGAGCTCCACTCGCGGACATTTTATGTTGCACTGATTGCAGTCCTTATTAGTCATATACACAAAACAACAATAAAAAAAATGTAGGTATTCGACCTTACTGTAAACCTTAAATTTTTGACATCTTTTTGACTGTATTTTCTCGATATAGTCACTTTTTTCTTTGCTTGATGAGTATCATGTTGGCCATCTTATATCTGCAATTCTGATTCTCAGTTTTTATGGATTGTGCGTAGACAACTGTCTGCGTTTGGACAGTCCTCAATCAAATTTATTCTACATAAGATCCACAACTTCATTTAGCTTCTAAATCGAATTTAGAGTGTTTGTCATACTTATGCACCTGGATACATGCTTAATGTACCTAAGTATAATTTCTTGCCTATATATATATATATATATATATATATATATATATATATAAAGAGTTAATGGATTCATTTTAATCCGATATTTTTAATATGTCAAATGTCAT